TGATCATTAACCGTTAGGGTCTCATTTTTCTTCAGGGTTCCCCAGTCAGGATTCACTTATCTGGATTCCAGGTTTGGCCTGTGACTTCCATACTATAAGTCTTTAGAACACCATACACTGACAGATGTATCAAAACCAAAAAAAAAAAATTGGTGTTCTCTCATCATTTCTTACCTTCAGTATATTCTTTGCTGTCAGCTCAGCTATGCTTTTTAAATATTTTATTTTAAAAAATGTTTCATTCATCATTTTAGGTGTTATGCACCTGGAGGGATACATGTATAGAGTTTCAGGTGTGTTTTGGCTAACACTATTTATGTATTTACGGGTCGTCCTTCTTGCCCAACCAGATTATAAGCACTCAAGCTGCTCTATTATGCTCCACTAGTAATTCCTTACACACATTAAGAATTTAATAAATGTTTCTTGTTTGAAATAAATCTATTCTCTATTATCTGAATAAAATTCTGAAAAGACTTTATAAACAACATAAGTTCTCCCTCCTGGCTTTTCATTTTTACTTCTTTTCTCCTACATAGAAATGTATCCATTTGATTAACATATAGTCTCTATATACACTATGTTAATTAAAACTACCCCTCTGGTTTCATGAACCAAGTAACTTAATTTTTACCTGAAAACTCAAATTAATAGGACACCAGTCCAATATTAGCTATTTGAAATAAGATGATTACATAAAGTACAAGACATGACTTGTCAATGAAATTTATTTATCTCTAGACTTCTTGTAGACCTGATTACCCAGTGGTATCAAACGTATACCCAAGTCATCCTGACATCAGCGTTGAGTGACCACAGGCATGAGCTCAGGGGATGTAGCTAGAGTCTTTTAATCTTAGAAAAAAGTCATCCAAATATTTATTTATACTCCACATTAAATCCATACTTGTTTTTAACAACAATGTTTTAAATAATTTACCAATTAAATTGCATACCACTATCATCACATCAATTTCACAATCAAACCGTATAAGACGTACATTAGTTTGATAGCTTTGTCTACTTCTAAGATATAGGTGTGCACCCTATTTTTGGAAGCACACATAATAATGTTTAAAATGAAGAGAAATTTGAAAACTTACAAAAAACAGACTGCTCTGCCAAGAGATCCCAACTCTTTCATCAGCTCAGCCCTTCTACTTCCTAACCCCACATAAGGCTCTAATTCAGAAGTAGCAAGTTTAATTGCCTAGGAGGACTTGCTTGGAATGCCAGTGAGTACAAAGGGCAAGGTAGGGACCCTGGCAAGGCAAAGAGAACTGGTCCTGTCCAAAGGGGCAGGGTCACCCTTCACCTCCAGCCAATTGTTTCCATGTGGGAGTACAGGGCAGGGTTGCAGATCTCCCAAACCAAGAATCCAGATTTTTATGTAAATTATCCTAAGTTTATAAGTGTGAAATAAACATGGAAGATGATTTTCATAATCTTAGAATGGAAAAAGTCTTTCTAGGAATGGCAGAAAAGGAAAAAAACACAAAACATGACTATATAAAAAAAATTAATTCTGCATAACAAAAACACAATAAAGAGCAAGCTTACATACAAAAGCCAGTAAAGATGTGCATATGTAAGAAAACGCTAATATTCTTCACATCAAAGTGCTGTTGGAAGCAGAGTTGTTATGTATATATGTTACATATTCTATTAGAAAACTATTGGCAATGATATGGAGATACGGTTTACAGAAGAGGAAATACAAATGGTTCTTACACACATGAGAAGACAAATCACATCACCCATGATAAGAGAAATGCTAATTATATTACAATGAGATACCATATTTCACTGACTAATATGGCAAAAATCAAAGAGCTTCAAATCACACTTTTGACAAAGTGATGGAAAACAGGCCTCACATACATTGTTGGGAGATTATAAGTTGAAAAAAAGTTTATAGGAGGACATTTGGCAGAATTTATCAAATTTACAAATATGCATTCCTTTCCCCGGCAAATCATTTTTGTGTACAGAAATACAAAATAAGCCAATGACACACGTACAAGAATATTTACTGCAGTATTCTCTGTAAACACTGTAAAATGTAAAGCCTCTGAATTTACTTAATTTAAGCTAAAATTAAGGGCAAGTAAAGAGAAAACATGGCCTGGGAGAAGATATGCAGAGTTTGAACCCAGAGCCAAATTGCAACGGAGAGAATAACAGGGCAAGCTCCACCTCTGCCACCAGAATGTAGAGGCAGGATAAGATTTACTTTAGGTGAACAGGAAGAAAATTAACATGTCCACAGCCCCTGAGCTCATACGCTTCAGTAACTAACACTTACCGGGTGTTTCTTCTGTCCAGGCTGTACTAAGCATCATCCTTACATGTTCTCTTTTAATCCTCACAAAAACACCTGAAGGAGAGTAGCTTTCCTCATGCTTTTAGGGATGCCAATATCCAGAGAGGTTAAGCAACTTGCCCAGCTTACCTAGCTTACATAGACCTATCTAACATCATAGGTAATATGAAAACACGGGGCGAAGAACTTTGGTCTGGGAAACAGATTCCTCATTATTTAAGCAAAATTACCCCTTACAAGCTGTGTACCCTTGGACCAGTTATTTCATTCCATGGGACTCGGTTTTGTCATCTGCAAAACAGTGGTGATGCTAGTGACTACTTAAGAGAGTTATTGAAAGGCTTAAGTGAGTGGAATTCATGGAGAAGTATCTTAAATATGTCCTAATGTGATAGACTGTATTTTCCAAAGATGGTTATAACAAAGATGACCCCCATTGCACATGCTCTTTTTTGAAGTGACTTTGACACTCTTCCATCAAGAGGTCCACTCTATTTCTCTACTCCCTTCAACCTGGGCATACCGCGGGTCTGCTTTGACCAAAAGAATGTGGAGGAAGAGTTCAGGCACAATGGCCTATGCCTGTAATTCTAGCACTCTAGGAGGCCAAGGCAGCAGAATTGCCTGAGCCCAGGAATTCAAGAGCAGCCTGGAAAACATAATGAGACTCTCTCTCTACAAAAAATAAAAAACAAAATCAGCTAGGCATGTTGGCACATGCCTGCAGTCCCAGTGAACTGGGTGGCAAAAGTAGGAGGACTGCTTGTACCTAGGAGGTCGTACCTGCAGCAAGCCATGATTGTGCCACTGCACTCCAGCCTGGGTAACAGAGCTAGACTCTGTCTCAGAAAAAAGTATATAGAGGGAGAAAGTGATGCTGTACCACTTCTGAGCATAGCCCTTAAGTGACCTGGTAGTTTTCATTTCTGCCTCTTAGAAACTAGCTGCCACAAAAGAAGTAAAACTGTCCTGAGACAGTCATGACATAAGAATTTCAAGCCCCACAGAGTGAGGTTGGAGGAGGAAATGCCATGTGAAGGGAGAGAAACCAGAAAGCCATGAGGAGTCAGATACGTGATTGCAGAAGCCACCTAGGGAGTACAGCCCCGGTGCCAGCTGCCCCTGCTGACGTTATGTGTAGCAGAGACAAGCCAGCCGTCCCCAAGTCAAGCCCTCCCCAAAGTCCTGACCCACAAGGACATGAGCAAAGCAAAATGGTTGTTTTAAACCACTAAGTTTTGATGTCATTTGTTACGCACTAATAGATCACCAAAGCATCTAGCATAAGATGCTTGAAAAATGATGCTATTATTTTATACTCACTAGTATTTTATGCTGTGCTTATTATTATTTTTAACTCCCATCAAAACACTATAGTAAATAGTTGTAATAATTTTTATTCATTTAAAAAATGACATTTTAATGGGTCACAAAAGGGAGGTCTTCAGTAATTACCCAAAAATTTAAAAATGTGAAGGAAGGAGTAAATTAACTCTAACTCTAGTTCAATTAATATTGTTGAGAGAGATGAGAGGTACTAGTCTTGTGCAGGGCAAGATTAATTTTTATTTTTATTTATTTATGTATTTACTTTTTCAAGACAGTCTCACTCTGTCATCCAGGCTGGAGTGCAATGGCGTGATCTCAGCTCACTGCAACCTCCACCTCCTGGGTTCAAGGGAGTCTCCTGCCTCAGCCTCCCAAGTAGCTAGGGTTACAGGCATGCACCACCATGCTCGGCTAATTTAAGACTGATTTTTAGAGTGCAAAGATAAACCAAAAATGCTCTCATATTTCACAGATCTTTAGAGCAAATATTCTTGAGAATGAACATGGGGAGAAGACTGGAAATGTATTTCTGCTGGCATATGCATTTACCACTGAATTCTTATTATATAAAGTGACACACAATGGGACTGAGATAAAGGCTCTCCAATGTAAAAACAGCTGAAAATGTATACAAAGACAACTAGTTGGATATTCTTTTTTTCATCCACAATTTGGCTGGTAAATACACTCAGGCTACATTAGTAAAACACAGTTAAACTGCTCCAGGCAGCAGGCATAGCACAATAACATCTTCTCAATACTGTCATATTCAGATGGACCCACAGGACATTGTTATAATCTCTGTGATCTTTAATCAGTCTCTGTGGCCTGGCAACCCCAAGAACCTTTAGGATAACACCTCGACCCCTGACTCCTGCATTAGAAATGTTTTATAATGAAGGGACAATGGCTTCGCTCCTATTAATAAAGAATTCCTTTTGTATGCCTCCCCAGTCCTCCTCATAGACCTTTGCCTGTAGTAGATGCTCAGTCTACTTAAAAGTTAATTGAATTAAGCTTAAAAATGAAAAAAGACCCAGTCTTGTTTTAAGAGAGATTTCAGTCTAACACATAAATACATCAGCAAACAGCTACTGACCTGGTATACAGATGGCCTTGGCAGGGACCTAAACCATTTATTTAAAGAGTAATGAGCCATTTTCATGATCAATCCCTTTATCCCTAAGTGCAGTTTCTGCTGTGTCTCATGCCTAGAAACAGGAAGTAGGTTCCAGATTATGAGTCCTGGGAACTGAGATCATAGCTTGGGTTCTAGATTATGAGTCCTGAGAGCTGAGATCATAGCTTTTGATTTAAAAAACATTGTTTGGTTTTTTTTTCCACTCAGACACGTATTTAACAACTGTAGAAATCCAAAAGAATTAGCATCCAATCTGGAAGTCGTGAGTGAAGCTGCGGATTGACTTGACTGGGCTCAGCCACTGAGCTGCCTCAACTGGCCAAGGAACAGGATATAACTATGCGGACTTCTATGTTGTCTTAATCTCATTGTATGTATTACGTATTTAGTTTCAATAAAGCATTTGTACCAATGGCTCTGGAGCTTGAAGGAAGACTAAAGGAATGTGTAGTGATTCTGAGTATGATGTAGACCTATGCAGCAGAGCTATGGGGGAGATTAACAAAGTCCTTTCTTCCAGTACCAGGATGGTCATGAGTGGCAGTCCCATCCAAACAGGTCACTAGGACCAGAAGGCTGGACCCTGCCCTCTCTGTCTGACCATGACAGCTTCTTGCTCCTTCCAAGGGAGGCAAGGAGCTTTCAACTGGGAGTTTTCAGTGAATGAGCACCATGACACAGTCATTGCTGATCCCTCCATCTAGCTGTTGTGAAAAGATAAAGCAAAGGAGGCAAGGAAATGCTTAATCTAGCAGACAAGAGAATGGACAGTGTGATCCTTGTTTGTGCTAGTCACAGGGTGGTGCACCACATTTCAGCTCCATGATGCTACTTGCTTTCCTTCATTTCCTCTGTTTCCATTTATTCCCTTCATTTATGGTCTAGAATCAAACAATTCTAAACCTCAGTGTCTTATGAAGCTGACACTTCAAAACCTGCAAAAGCAGGATGCCTTTGAGGTATTTAGTCCCACCAAGTACAACTAGAGCTGTCATAGACAGTGTAGGTGTGCAGAGATCCACCTCCTTGCTCACTGGCAATTAGGGAGTTAATGCTCTAAAATTGAAGCAAGGAGCCTGGACTGTTGCCATTTTATGGAAGCCACGTAAGTTGGGCAGGACTCCACAGGAGCTGCCCAAGACCTGATGATGGCAAGAGATTTCTATGTCTGAGTCATGAAATCTGTCTACTATGAAAGATGCTATGCTCTGCCTGAGAAATAATTCAGGTGTGAGTTCTAGTCTCTCAGGACATTACAAAGGAGAGAAAATGATGTAAAGAAAGAATGTCAGAGTAGGAATCCACTTTTGCCTCAAACTAGCTAGGAGACTAGGCAAGTCATGGAAGGCCTCAGTTTCTCTGCCTGTATGTGTGTTATATTGGACTGGATGGCCGGAGATTTTGCATGGCTGCTAAAATGCTTATGAGGTCCTAAAGAAAACAGGAATACCCCTCCCCACCATTTAGACTGGATTTGCTGAGTGTGGTGTTCTAGTCCCCAAAAACTTCTGATCTGCCCTGATTGCCCAGGGAGGAATGAAAGAAAGGGTTTGTGACATACTAAAGTATAAACGTAGTGACAGCTGACCATTTAGTAGAAACGAGCCTTGCCTTGACACAGCTTTGTACAACAACTAGAAAAGGCTATGTTTTCTCTCTCCCCACCCCCAAGCCTACTCCTTTAGGCATGCAGGTAACTGTCCGCCCCACCACCACCTCCCCTTTCTCCTCATTCCACCAGGGAACCCTGACTAAGGAATGAAGTCCTACGAAGAGGAGGTCTCATGTACCAATCTGCAGCCATTTGATGATGGCAGGTAGGTCTGATGCTAAAAGAGGTTGTGTCCAGCAGAACCCAATTCCATAGGAATCCAAGCTCCAAGGCTGGGCGGCAGCAGGTGCAGGGGACAAGCTCGCGGCTGCGAGTCGGTCTGGAGGACCCACTGGAGGATCTCATGGCGGCGTAGACGCTGGACCGCATTGTCATAGATGGTGTTGACACTGGTGCAGAGGAACTGCTGCTGTTGCAGCTCTGTCACCCGACAAACAACCAGCCCTCCTGCCACACAAAATAGCAACAGCAGCAGCAGCAGCTTCAGCACAGCCCAGGAACGAGTGTGTTTCCGGGGTGGTGGCTTGCGGGGACGGGAGCCGGACTTATATTTTGGGGCCTGATTTGCTTCCTTCTTAGGTTTCTTCTGCTCCCGCTTGGCTGCTTTGAGGGCGTCGTACTCCTTTCACCAGCGCTCCTTCTCTTCCGCCTTCTCCTGCTTCCGCAGTTCCCGCTCCTGGGCTTCCTTAGCTCGCTGCTTGGCCTCGCGCTTCTTCTCTGCCTCACGTGCTCCTTCCAGCCACCGCTGCCTCTCCCGCTCCCGATCCGCCTGCACAGCCTTCATGTGCGGTAACAACTTGTTTGCACACTGCTTACACTGCTTCTCATCCAAGCAGTCACCTGCCCCCTTGGCCAGGACAGGATCCAGGGGGTTATCCTTCGGGTCCAGCCACTTCAGGTTCTTGAGCCGAGCAAAGCTGACAGGCAAGGTGACCAGCCTGTTGTTGAGGAGATCCAGGTGCTGGAGGTTGACCAGGCGGCCGAGGTCTGCTGACAGCTGCTGCAGCTTGTTTTTACTCAGGTCTAGCTTCACCAGGTGTGTGAGGCCACAGAAAGCCGACGGTAGAGTAGTCAGTTTATTATAAGACAGATCCAGGACGGTGGCCTTAGGAAGGGCAGCCAGCTCCTTCACCGGGACTTCATTCAGGTCGCTGAGGCTCAGGTCCAGTTCGTTACCGTCCAGCTTGTTGCGGAGGTTCCCGCCCTTGCTACCGGCCTTGGTCGTGGTGATGCCCGCTGAGCGGGCCCCGGCTCCGGGGTTCCCACTGGCGGGGGAAAGGAGGTGAAATGCCGCTTGTCAGTTCAGCGGGCCGCCATCCAAATGACAACGCCTGAGCCCTCCGTCGCCGCCGGTGCTAGACCGCCTCCACCTGTCCATCCGCAGACCACACTCCGAGCTCCGTGCCTGGCTCCCACCGGTGCCGCGACGACGACCCTAAAAAACATTGTTATATAAGGAAATTGATATACAGAACGTTTATTGAATAACAGTTACCAGTCCTTCTATGCTAACTGTGTGCCAAGCATGATGTAAACCACTTTCCATATATTATTTTATTTAGTCCTTACATCAATAGAGAGAAATGAGTATTATCTGGCTTTTCTATCTTAAAAAACTAAGGTTTAAAGAAAATTTAAATAGTATCCCCCTCTCCCTCTCCTGCACCCACCAGAACCAAAAATATAAAAAGAGTGAAGTTGATGTATCTTATTTTAGAGCACTGGACATCTCAACTCACGTGATCCTAAAGGGATTTCAATGACAGGACCCTCCTCCTGACCACATGAGTAGCTTGTCAGATTTGTTCTCTCAGGTCCTTAGTTGTTGTCCCTAAAGTCATAGAAACAGCAGTAATGTGAGTGAGTCACCCAAAAGCGTCTTGAGATAGTGTATGAGTTCTGTGCTCTCAAGAATTCCTTGGCTCCTCCTTGAAGGTGGGTGGGCAACTCCTTATTTCTTTTTCCAATTTTGTTAGCCACCCAATATCCTTCCAACAATTGCTTCATTCTTTGCCAGACTGTATTTCTGTTGTGTACATGCAAACAACTACAGCTGATGACACAGTGACAAAGAGTACAGAAATGTGATTACCATACTGAGATGAGGCACAAAAGAAGTGGGATGCCTATCTGTGATCTGAGACGGGTGGGAATCAGCCTATGTAAGTACTAAGAGCTACTTCTGAATGCACAGGATGAATTAAAGCTACAAAATACATGGTAAAACCTTGGAGTTTCCACTGGTAGGCATGGAAAAAAACACACATGGATTTTTGGTGACTGCTGAAAATGTTTCTTATCTTCTTAGAGTGGAGATGATGGAAAGTCAAAACCCAAAAGAGTGATACTGTTGTTCACTGAATCCAAATATCAGTTAAATCCTTGCAAAGTCTATTTGCAAATTTTGTCCTTGATCAGGAAGGAGCAGAATTCCCACAACTGGAAGAGTGTCATCTGGAGGGAATGCAGAACCTGGAGAAGCTTCCACGTGATACCAACCCATTTTCACAAGAAAATAATGAAGTGAACCATATTCAGCACCTATTTTGCATACAAGAAAATATTTTATAGACAAGAAAAACTTACAGGCTTCACACTATAAGTGGCAGAGCCAGAATTCAAACCAGAAAGTCTTATTCAAAGCCCATGCCTTTAACCAGGGTTCAGCAAACTCTTTCAGAAGTCTCTGCCAGGAGGACTCTACTCTGCCATGGCAGTGGAAACAGCTCTAAACAATATGTAAACACTTCAGCATGGCTGGGATCCAGTGAAACTTAATTTATGAACACTGAGGTTTGAATCTTATAAAATTTTTACATGTTGCTAAATATTATTCTTTTGATTTTTCAACATAATTTTAAAATGTAAAAACCATTCTTAGCTCGTGAGCCATACAAAAAGCAGACATTACTGAAGTTTGCTAACTCCTGCTCTTACACTGCATCAGTAGAATCAAAGCCAGTATTTGAAAGTGGATCCATGATTCCTCGAAAATAGGAATCCTGTGCATTCAGAAGTAGCTCTTTCCTGTGAAAGGCTTTTTCTAGATAAAGGCAGTGTGTGTTTATTCCCTGGCTTATGAGCAGTAGGGTATCATTCTGTCAAGTGATGGCAAAGCATACTTCTAAATTGTTCATGTAGGCCACATGTGCAGCCGTAAACAGAACAGAGAGTTAGGTATTCACTTAAAAAATAAAAGAGGATCATGTTAGAAGAAACTTGAGTGTTTGGGGAAAGCACCCATGCTGACCTGAGGCCAGCTAGTATGGAGAGTTCTGCCAAGAAACTAAAATACAAAGAGCCAGGCATGTTTACTTTGAATCCTATAAATGATTTATAAGAACTTTAATATGACTACTGAGTATACTAGTAGGCTTGTTAGACATTTTATTTTTTTGACCAGGGAATCATTTGTAAACTGAAGACACTGATGTGTGAGCTCAGATTCCAGAGTCAAAGGTATATTTAAGCATTCTGGAAGTTCCCCTCTGACCCATCTCCTCCCTATTGCTATTTTGACCAATGTCCATTTCTCCATGGTCACCAAAACTCAGACGTTACTAATATAAAGAAAGACTCAGTGTTTCTTTACATTATTAACGTCTGAGCTAAGAATTCCACAGCTGCTTGCCAGAAAGGCAAAGAAGGCAAGAATGGGGTGGAGGTGGTGGTCAGAAGCAACTTTAGATTTGGACACAGAGGTAAGATACACTAAACAAGAATGCAAACAGAATCTTATTGCCATCTTCATGTAAATGTCCGAGAATGTTGAAGTTTTTAGAAATCCAGCCCAAATTGACCATGTTTAGGTTTACACAGGATAGCAGCTGAAAAGATTCGTATCCTCCATCCTCAGTGAACCACACCTTGTGATTTAAGAAAAGAAACTAGAGAGGTAAATGTCTTCTGTCTTTTACATTTCTGAATGGTTGGAAAAAAATAATTCTACCCCACTTTTGTTTTATTTTCATGATAGTCTATGCTTACAAAAGAATTTTAAAGATATATCCTCACAGTTTTGTTTTGTTTTTTTTGTTTTTTTTTTTTGAGACAGAGCCTCATTCTGTTGCCCAGGCTGGATGGAGTGAGTAGTGCTATCTTGGCTCACTGCAACCTCCAGCTCCCAGGTTCAAGGGATTCTCATGCGTCAGCCTTCCAAGTAGCTGGGATTACAGGCATGTTCCCCACACCCAGGTAATTTTTCTATTTTTTGTAGAGACAGGGTTTTGCCATCTTAAGCTGGTCTCAAACTCCTGGCCTCAAGTGATCTGCCCACCTTGGCCTCCCAAAGTGCTGGGATTACAGGTGTCAGCCCCTGCACCCAGCCTCATTTTCTATTTACTAATTTATATTTGGAATAACAGAAAGGAGTAGAAATAGGAGGATAAAGGGTATCAGGTGAGAAGTAGAGGGTTAGTAGAGATATCTGTAACAGTTCATTTCCAAAGATTTGACCACTGATTTTGTACCAGGCATTCAGATGCAGAGACAATAGAGTTTGCCAAGTCCTTATTTTCCAAAAGCTAACCTAATAAAGTAGAATAAAATATGTACAATAAACGAGATGATGTATTAACTCCAGGCTAGGAAGGAAACACTCTTTTAGCACTGTAAGATAAAAGATATGAAGATCTAATACTGTCTTTGTTTGTTGCCATCTAGATATTTTCCTAAAACCCAGAACAATTTGGGGACCTCTTTTGCTGTCCCTCCTACAGCTTCAAAATCTGAAGATCCATGCCCCTACCCCATCCGTTGTAGGGAGAATTGAAAATTATTGTCATTTTCATCAAAATCTGGGTGCAATAGGAAATGAGAGTTTTGGGGAGGGCAGTGGATGGCAACTTGTGTCCTTGGGTCAAAGTGGCCAGCTGCCTATTTCTGTATGGCAAGCAATTCAACAGATTTTTTACATTTCTAAACGGGTTGGGAAAAAATAAAAAGAATGCTATTTTGTGATGTAATAATTATATACCATTCACATTTTGGTGTCCATAAATCAGGTTCCCCAGAACAGAAATGCCTGCATTTGTCTGTACATAGTCCAGCAGAGTAGAGTAGGCCAGCAGAGACCACATGGCCCAAAGCCCAACATCTTTACTCTCTGGCCCTTTGCAGGAAAAGCTTGCCAACCACTGGGTGAGATAAATAAAAGAGATAAAAAGAGAAAGACCGAGGAGGAGAGAAAGGGCAGCATGAGGGTGAGGCGCCGATCCAGGGGCTACTTTCATTTCTGACTGTGAGACTACACCTAAGGGGAACCTGAAGAACAAGGAAGTAACACTGGTGTCCTCAAAGAAATCAGAACAACATGGATAAACTAGGAAATCCCTTTCGAATTTGTCTGTGGAAAGCATCATATTGTTCAAATCCAAATTAAGGGACCAACTGACCATTCTTTGCAATTCCACATATGTGCTGCAGCAGCTGACAGGAAGCCTCTTTGCCATACTTTAAACCTCTAAAAAGTACAGTAAGTCTGTGTGTGTGTTTAGGAGGAAAGGGTGGTTATGTGACAGATGCAGGTTGCAAATACATTTTATTTATTAATACAAATTTATGGGCTTCATGAGAAATTTTCTGCAGGTATATATAATGGGTAGTGACCATGTCAGGGTATTTGAGGTGTCCATCACCTGAGTATACTACATTTCTTATGTACTGTTATCCTACCTTGTTATCAAGCTTTAAATTTATTCCTTTTATTTTACTGGCAAGCACATTTTTAAAAGGTCTGTAGTGGGGAGTGGACTGACACAGATGACAGGGGCTTAGCTTTTATTCTGTATACTTCTGTAGCACTTAAATACATTTATGCCACATAATAACGTTTCAGTCAACAACAGACTGCATGTATGATGATGGTCCCATAATATGATAATGGAGCTGAAAATTCCTATGGCCTAATGACATTATAGCTGTCATCATGTGCAACACACTACCTTTTATGTGTTTAGATACACAGATAATTATCATTGTGTCACAATTGCCCAGAGTATTCCTTGTAGTAACATGTTGTATGGGTTTGTAGCCCAGGAGCAACAGGCTAGACCATGTAGCCTAAGTGTGTATTAGGCTATACCATCTAGGTTTGTGTAAATAAACTTGTGATGTTGCCACAACCACAAAATCTCCTAATGGCATATTTCTTAGAACATATTCCCACCATTAAGCAACAAACAACTATCACAATAAGCATTTTTAGCAATTTAATAAAGCAATACAAATTGAATGTAAAAAAGAAAAATAAATGCCCCATTAAAGAATTGTAACAAGTTTTGTGTACTCAAAGATAATGAAAATCCCTATTTGACTAAACAATAAAAAGGAAGTGGAAGAGGCAAATCAGGAAATGCTTTAGAAGAACCTGACGTTTTCAATAAGCCTTTGAGGATTAATAAGATTTGACAAGGTGAAGAGGGCATCCTATGCCAA